GAGCTCGTGGCCACCGCTAAGTCCTGTGACTTTTTTGGCGCAAACTGGATGCCTGACGTAGACAGTTCGGTTGGCAATACAAGGACCTTTATTTTCATGTCACATGATCAGAGCGACCTGCTCTGGCATCTGCAGTCGCTTCCGGTCACCTCTCCCCAAGTTTCCTGCGTTGTCAGCTTTTCCCCAGGTGCCAGAGGGACGAGGAGGTTGGAGACTCCTAGGTCCTAGGGGGCGGGCCGCTGCTGTCTTGTCTTCATGGTGTAGTCTGTCTCTGTCTTTGTGCTGTAGCCCGAGCACGACCTTTGGGAGGGGCTGGGGATAGTGACAGTGGAGACAGGTGCGTTTTTTTGCCTGCGTGAGCCCAGCCCTCTCCCGTCTTTCTTTTTTTTTTTTTTTTGGTACCGGGGATCGAACCCCGGTCCTTGTGCTTGCGAGGCAGGCGCTGGAACCACTGACCTAAACCCCCAGCCCTCTCTCCGTCTTTCTCCATGGCCACTTTCTTGCTCATTCGCGGGCAGCCGGGCCCCCTTGGGCCTGCTCACCCAACGTCATCACACAGGTGACAGCCTGGCGTGTCTCAGCGGGACCTGTCTCATCCGCCTCTCACTCTTTCCAGGGAAATCGATGTGCGGCTACTGGGACAAGAACTGGCTGGTGTGTCCCAGAGCGGCCACCCGGACTTAGCCTTCATTCATGCAGTCACTCTGTCGCTCGTTCACTCAGCAGGTCACTGTCCTCCATGCAGGGCTGGGGGTGGACAGGGGACTCAGACATGAAGCCTGTTGCCAGCGAGGTTAGAAACAGGCTTTCAGGACTTCCAGAGGAAGTGCTTTTAGTTGAAGGAATCCTGGGAGTCTTTCTGTTTGTTTGTTTTTTGAGACAGGGTCTGGCTATATAGTCTAGGCTGGCCCTGAACTCACAGAGATACTCCTGCCTCAGCCTCCCGAGTGCTGGGACTACAGGCATGTGCCACCATGCCCGGCCATGGCCTTGTTGAACTACAGAAATTTTCTTTTCCTCCTCTTCCCCCAGAGTAATCTTTGTGAATTAAGGTGGGAGGGAGGCAACAGAACAGCTTAGTTGGAAGAGGGACTCTGACATCCCAGGGTCCGGTGACCGGGTAGGGCAGAAAGAAACATCAAGGTCACATTGGAGCCCAGGAGAGTTAGAAACAAGACTGCTGGAGACCCCTGTAGTCAGGTTCCAGTACCCACCTGCCCAGTGTGTGACGCAGGCCTGAGGAAAAGAATACACTGAGAGGCAGAGCTAAGAGAGAGACAGCGGGGGCCAGGACGACCAGTGCCGGTGCAACCATCAAAGGCGCTGGCCAGGCCCAGGCACTGACTTTTGGCAATCAGTTGGGGTAAAGGCAACATTTGTTTCCTATGGAAATTAATGTAAACAAGGCTCAGAAAGGACAAGACACAGCATTCTCAAATTGGGAACAGAATAGATAAAATATATGGCTGTAATTAGAACATTGTCCTTCTAGCCTGAAGGTTTTAGTTGTGGGAACGGAATTTGGGTGCGAGTTGCTCTGACCTCTGCACATAGGCTTCAGCCAGACACATCTATAAACAAGCCAGTTGTGGGGTTAACTTCGTAGCCTGCTTTGAGCATATTCCATATTACAGTCTTCCGCACAAGACTCTGTGTGTAACACACCAGGAAGCTACAAATGCAAGGTTCTCCTATATTTAATCATCAAATAGATTTTTCTTTTTTTGGTACCAGGGATTGAACACAGGACCTTGCACTTGCCAGGCAGGCTGGGTGTCACTGAGCTAAATGCCCGACCCTAGAAGTTTTTCTTAGATAGCTGCATTTTCTTGGCAGGCATGGTGGCACACACCTATAATCACAGCACTCGGGATGCTGAGGCAGCAAGATCTCCGTGAGTGGAGAGCCAGCCTGGGCTCCATAGTGAGACCCTACCTCAAACCACATCTCCCCAAAAAATGATTTCCAGTTGCTTCCTTCCTGCCTGCTGGGAACTGGCCCTGAGCATCCTGTTTTCTTGGGCCTCTCTTGTCCTCCTCCTCTTTGTGGACCAGAAGCAGTGGACTGAATGGCATTGTGTGTCTGCCTTGATGCTTCGTGGAAAATGGTTAGATGTCAGTTTAGGATCTGATTCCTCTTGGTTTCTGTGCTTGGAATAAAAATAATCTAAGCCAGGCATGGTGGCCCACACCTGTCATCCCAGCACTCTGGGAGGCTGAGGCAGGAGGATCATGAGTTTGAGCCCAGCCTAGGCAACTTTGTGACTCAGTGAGACCCTGCCTCAAAATAAGAAAGAGCTGGGGATGTAGCTCAGTGTGAAGGCTCTGGGTTCAATCCGTGGTGCCATGAAAACAAAAAACCCCACACCTGTTTATAAGTCATTCCTCAAACAATGTACATCTCTTTCATTTCCCTCCCATTTTCAAACTGAGGCTTGCAAACAAAATTAAATCTTCAGAAAGATTCTAAGAGCACAAATTCTTTTTTTTTTTTTTTTTTGGTACCGGGGATCAAACTCGGGTCCTTGCGCTTGCGCAGCAGGCATCCCACTGAGCTAAATCCCAGGCCTTAGAGCATGAATTCTTAACCAAGAATGAGGAACTATCCCCAGAAAAATGGGCTGGATTTTTGAAAAGAATCTTGCAGGGTGTCTTTGGCCTGTTTGGTGGTTTATTTTGTGGTTAATATTTTTTTTCCTTCCTCTGATAATTTTGGGTGGGAACATCAGACACATCTTTAGGGATTAAGTGGCCTGGTGTTGGAATAAATCCCATTTTCCCTCAAAGTATGGAGCAAGGAAACACAAAAGCATGGACACGTCAGCTTTTAAAGTCCCATTGTATTTGGTTTTGGTTGTTATTGTTTTTGGTACTTAGCCCAGGCTGGCCTTGAAGTCACAGCAATCTTCCTGCCTCAGCGTCCCGAGTGCTGTGATCATCTGTGTGCCACCGCAGGAGGCTGAAATCCCACTGCAGAGGTCCCGTGTCACTCTGAAGAAGGCAGCTATGTGTGCAGCCCGTTCTCAACCTTCTCCAGCGGAGCTTCAGAGTGCCGTGTGCGCATGTGCATACTCACACACCCGCACTTGTGTCACAGGCAGGCTGCAGTGTGATCTGTCCTACATCTGTCCTGTCCTCTAAGCAATGCTGGAGTTGGTTCCCTCAAGGCATCAGTAGAGTATGTGCCCGCCTGGCGAGGATGGCTGAACATACATACGCTCAGCTGGCCCATTGTCTCTCACTCAGGGACAGAACCAACCTTAGGTCTTAAAAACTGAGAAGAAGCAGCTCGTGGTGGCGGAGGCCGGTGAGCTCAGCACTCGGAAGGCTGAAGCAGGAGGATGGCTAAAGTTCGAGGGCACCCTGGGCTGCATAGTGAGTTCAGGGCCTGGTTGCATTACAAAGCAAGACCCTGTCTCCAAAAAAAAAATCTTATTTGATAGGGCTGTGCCTCTGTGAAAGAAATTTTTTTCATTAAAAAAAAACCTGATGGGATACATATAAATGCGCATAAGAGTATCTGAGCTCTGTGTGTGGTAGTGGGGACTGAACCCAGGGCCTTCGCACTGGGCTACATCCCTCTACTCACTGTGTGGTCCAGGGTGGCCTTGCACTCATAGCCACTCTCCTGCCTCAGCCTCCCAGGTCCTGCAGTTTGGTCACACCCCGCTCAGTCTCAGCCTTTTCAGGACGTTGCGGGCTTTTCCTGTTTAGGAACAGTAAATAGAGGAAAGATAGACACCCTGTCCACATTTCACATGCTATTGAGTATTGTCATGGTTTTAGGGTTTATCTCCCCGTTATTTTTCCTTCACTTAACATTCTTCATAGGGTTTCTTCCCTTTTGTGACCCAAGCTCGTCCCTGTTTTGTGTCGAGTCCTCCAGGAGTGTCCTCCTGCTGCTGGTGGCTGAGCTTTAAGCTTCCTCCTTCAGAAGTTCTCTTTAAACTGTGGTTCCATTTGTGTCCACGAGGTGGCGCTCCTTCACCGGGAGTAAATTCTAACCCCAGGCACTGCGCTGAGACAGGTGTAGGCCGGTTAAGATTCAGAATCACAACACTAGTAGGAAATGGGGTGTGTTGAGCCCCCCAGCTTCACTGAGCAGACACCAGTGTTCTCCTGAGAACATGCGCCGAGGGAGAAGGTCCGCCTAGCAATGGTGGGGGGCTGGGGTGGGGACCCCCAGGATGGTGCTCTCCAGCCAGTGCTGGGGCTCCTCTGCCTTTGGAACCTGATCCTCAGAAGTTGTCCCTGTGGGTCAGAGGCCACTCAGGTGCCATGAAAGACAACAGACTTGGGAAACCAAGGACACCCTCTTTTATTTTTTACCAAGTCAGGGCCTTGCTAAGTCCCTGAATTGCCCAGGCTGAGCTCCACTTTGCAGTCCTCCTGCCTCAGTCTCCTCCAGCTGTGTGCGGCTGAGTGGTGAGCCGCCCTGTTGCAGAGAAGTTGACTTGGTCTTTTCTCTCGGGGATGGAGACCCCCCCACTGCATCTTTCGGGCGGCCTCGGGACATTTCGACTGTGTCTCCAGAGCTTCCTTCCGTGAGGGCATGGCCATGTCTCATGGTCAGAGTCGTCTTCTGTGACCTTGAAGTCCTGCCTGGAGCAGACGGCACCACTTCCATCCCCCTTTCCCCTGGGCATGCAAAGCTGAGAACCCAAGTGATACAAACAGTGGGCTTCCGGGTCTGTGCTGAGGGCCACTGCAGTGACACTGCTGGATGACAACTGCCACCCTTTGCCGCCTGTCCTGCCTGACACTAAGAGCTGTCCTGGAAGGGAGGGGAACAGAGCTTCCGAGTGTCCCGTCCCTCCTATTCTTGGTGTTGTTGAGACAGGGTCTCACTAAGTGGCCCAGGCTGGCCTGGAACTCATGGCGATCCTCCTGCTTCAGCCTCCCCGAGTGCTGGGATGACAGGCGTGCGCCCCCCACCCTGCCCCGCCTGTTGCTCCCTGTTCTTGTGGCCGGAAGCGGGGCTCACAGAGCCTTCTCCCGCAGGTCTTCATCTCTGTGAACTGCCTGAGCACCGACTTCTCCTCGCAAAAGGGCGTCAAGGGGCTGCCGCTCAACATCCAGATTGATACCTACAGCTACAACAACCGCAGCAACAAGCCAGTGCACCGCGCCTGCTGCCAGATCAAGGTCTTCTGTGACAAGGTGAGGGGCAGCATCATGGCCGTGCAGGGGGAGGGAGGGAGGGGAGGCGGTCATGGCTGAATCAGCAGCACATTGCTGTGGGCTCTGACTTGACAAAGTGAAGGCACTGGGTGGGGCTGCGCCCCCAGCCTCGGGACTGAAGCAGGTCGGACCTCAGTCCTCCTCGGCACAGGGCCAGCCCTCGGGCATGGCTGGCTGGAGGGAGGCGCTGGCCCTCACCCCACACAAGCCCTGGGGTGAGCAGCGACATGCAGAGTCTGGTGGCCTGGGCAGGAGGGGAGGAAGAGCTGATCCATGGAACTCGGCTTCAAAACTGCTAGGCTGTGCCCGCCTGTCATCCCAGCACTCTGAGAAGCTGAAGCTGGAGGGTCTCAAGTTCAAGCCCCACCTGGGTGACATAGCGAGACTTTGTCTCAGAGTTAAAGAAAAAGAAAAAAGGGACAAAGGCCCTGGGGTTCAATCCCCGGTTCAAAGAATAAATCAAAGAAAGTCACCCTTGTTCCCAGTGAGCAGTTTCGCAAAGAGGTAACTGGAGAATGAGCATGTGCAAGGAGAGGGCTGTGGTGAGTCAGGGACCCCGAGAGTGACATCGCCTTTCCAGAGAGGGAGACGCTCCCCAGTGGTCAGGGTGACCGGGCCACAGAAGCCTGTCCCGTTTGCTTTGCCCTGCAGGGAGCCGAAAGGAAAATCAGGGATGAGGAGCGAAAGCAAAGCAAGAGAAAAGGCAAGTGTACCGCGTGCCCCGGGGACCGTGAGTGCCTCGTCCCCTGCCTGTGACGGGGTGGGGGGCGGTGCCTGTGGGAGGTCTCACCTGCACAGAGGACTGGAGTCCTCACGGTGCATGTTCCTCGGGGGCAGCTGCACATGTAGGGGCCTCTGGAATTGCTGTCACAGCAGTGACTTCTGGGGGAATTCTGGAGGCCATAACTCCAAGCAATGGTCATTTGCTCATGGCAGTAACACTGGCAGGGTCGCATGTTCCACTGGAGAAGCCGTGTTCTTAGCAGGACTGATACTCATAGTCATACAGCCTGGCTGCAGACGGCCACGAAGCTGAGTGTGGCAAGGGCTGCCCGGCACCGAGCGTAGCCTCGGAGTCCCCTAGGGAAGCAGTGCCCAGAACCCTGTTACCAAGGGCGACAGCCAGGCATGGGGAGGGCACTCCGTGAGGTAAACACTGGTCCTGCCTAGCCTGAGGGCCGGAGAGGTGGGAGTCAGAGGGCTCGGAATGCAGAGGATTTGCTGGGGATGGCTCCTATGTGGTATGGCCAGAATATATGGTGAGGGGTCACATCTTACAAACATAGCACAGTGAGAGACGCACTGCCACGAAGCCCCTCCATCCCTCCTCCCTCACTCTGAAGACACTCATCCCATCGTCCTTGCCACTTCCTGCAGCAGCTCTGAAGTCCTTTCCTGAGGGTCTTTAGCTGCACTGTCCTGGCTGCCTCGATGTCCTGAGTAGATTCAAAACGTCTTCCTTTCATTGTCATTGTGACTTTGGGAAAGTTGCACAGTGCTAGATCTGGTAGGAGGAAGGTAGATGAGGACACAGTATCGTGTTTTTGTTTTGTTTGGGTACCGGAGATCGAACTCAGGTCCTTGCACTTGAAAGACAGGCACCGGAACCACTGAGCTAAATCCCCGGCCCTGTTTTGTGTTGTTTTGTTTTGTTTTGTTTTGTTTTGAGGTAGGGTCTCACTCTGTAATTCAGGTTGGCCTTGAACTCATGGTGATCCTCCTGCCTCAGCTTCCCAAGTGCTGGGATTACAGGTGGGCACCACCATGCCTGGAAGAGCCTCTTGTTTTCACGAGCTTGCCTTTCCGTCTCTTTTTTTTAAAAATAACTGTATTATCAAACACACACACATACAGAAATTAAAACCATTCAAAGAAAAACAATGCAAAGGAAAAAAAAAACTACAATAATATTCAAATATAGTAGAACTCAACCAAAACAAAACTGAAAAGCACCTAAACATTTTTCTGTATAACTTAAGAAAGCATCTCAAGCACCAGCAAGACACCAGAGGATGTGATTTGTTTCAGAAAGGTCCCCAAAACCAACACTGAACAAATAGTGGTCTGGAAAAAAAACTCCAGTTAGTTAGCAGACTCCACATAAGCCAAGCTTCTCCCTAATTTAAATTTCAATACAATCATATGACACGGAATGGAAACACAGTCCGAGAAATATGTTCTTAGGCCATTTCATCCGTGTGTGTCCTTATTTACACTATCAGTTTCTCACACTAGAGAAACTATTCGGTGTTTACACGTGTGTCCTATTTATTTCACTTAAGAGGATGGCCTCAATATGCATCCATTTAGCTATAAATGTCTCTAGTTTCTCGTTCTTTACGGCTGAGTAGTACTCCGTGTTATAAAAAAAAACCCACATCTTTATCCAGTCTCCAGTTGATGGGCACTTGGGCTGTTTCCAAGCTTTCGCTATTATGAACTGTGCAGCTATAAACATGGGTGCACATATATCACTGAGGTATGATTCTTTTAATTCTTTTGTGAAGATACCCAGCAGGGGGATAGCTGGGTCGAATGGGACCTCTAAGCCTACTTCTCTGAGGTATCTCCATACTGATTTTCACAGTGTTTGCACCAGTCTGCACTCCCACCAACAGTGGAGAAGGTTTCCTTTCTCCCCACACCCCTGCCAGCGTTTGTTATTGGTTGATTTCTTGATAGCAGCTATTCTTTCTGGGGTGAGGTGGAATCTCAGTGTTGTTTTCATCTGCATCTCTCGAATGACCAGTGATGTTGAACATTTTTTCGTATATTTATTTGCTGCTTTTTTTTTTTTTTTGCTTTTACTTCTTTGTCTGAGAAACGTCTGTTCATTTCAGATGCCCGTTTTTGAATTGGGTCTTTGAATTTTTTTCAGTTCTTTATATATTCTAGATCATAGTCCTTTGTCTAAGGTACAGTTGCTGAAAATTTTTTCCCACATTGTAGGTTGTCTGTTAGCTCTGTTGGTGGTTTCTCTTGCAGTGCAGAAGCTTTTTAATAAGATGAGATCTCAGTTGTTGATTCTTTGTGCAAGTTCCCGTGCCACTGAGGTTTTATTCAAAAAGTCTTTTCCTGTACTAATGTCTTCAAGAGTTCTGCCAGAGCTGCCTTTCTGATGGATGGTGCTCAGCAGCAGCATTCACTGTATTTGTGATCACATCTGGTAAAGACCCTCAGGATAGAGGACCCCAGAGCTGCTGCAGGAAGCGGCAAGGACAATGGGATGAGTGTGTGCAAAGCCAGGGGAGGATTTTGAGAGGGATTCGTGGTGATGTGTCTTTTACTCTAACACTTCTAAAATATTTTAACGTTCACTGTATTTTTTTTTTTCTTTCTTTTGGTACCAGGGATCGAACTTGGGTCCTTCCGCGCTTGCACAGCAGGCGGCGAAACCACTGAGCTAAATCCCCGGGCCTCGCTGTATTTTTTTTCACACCACATACTTCTACATTGTGCTTTCAATGAGATTTGACCTTTCAGGCAAAAACTAGGCTTTTCCCGTGTCCCATATCTTCTGTGGGCATGTGTCGCTTAAAGACGTCTCTTCCTGTTGATCTCAACGAGACCTCTGGTTGATTTTACCAGAAATGCCCCAAATCCCTGTCCAGAAGCTGTGACTTTTCGTAGTGCAGCACCATGACCAGTACCTCACCCAGTGCTTTGATTTAAATTTCTTAGACTAGGAGGAAAGTGCAGTGAGCGGTGTGCTGACACCTGCTGCCTCTTTCTCCTTTGCAGTTTCTGACGTGAAAGTGCCGCTGCTTCCGTCACACAAGCGCATGGACGTCACCGTCTTCAAGCCTTTCCTTGACCTCGACACGCAGCCAGTGCTCTTCATTCCCGACGTGCACTTCGCCAACCTGCAGCGGGGTGTGCATGTAGGTCCCGGTGCCGGGGAGGTGATGAGGCCTGGCAAAAACATTTCTTGCTGCCCGCGGTGGTGCACGCCTGTCATCCCGACACTCTGGGAGGCTGAGGCAGGAGGATCGAAAGTTGGAGCCCAGCCTGGGCAACTGAGCGACTTAGTGAGATCCTGACTTAAAATTAAAACTAAACTGCGCAAGCTCAAGGACCCGAGTTCGATCCCCGGTACCGAAAAAAAAAAAAAATTACAAATAAAAAAGGGCTGAGGTGTAGCTCAGGATGAAGGTCCTAGGTTCAATCCCCAGTACAGTCAAAAAAAAGGATTGGTGGTGTGGTATTCAAGTGGGCCGATTCAAAATTATTCTCATTTAGGAATATTTGTGGTCTGAAACATTTTGAGTTTATATTTGAAAAGCAATCTGTGTTTTTGCCTAGGTTCTTTCCATTGCCTCTGAAGAATTAGAGGGTGAAGGGTAAGTTTCATGTTTTGGTTTGGATCTTTCTTTTTGTTTTGGGTTAGTTTTGGATTGTTTCCTTTTGGATTTTTGAGACAGGGTCTTGTTATGTAGTCAGGCTGGCCTTGAGCTCACTGTGTAGCCCAGGCTGGCCTCAAACTTGCCCGACTGTGTTTTTGGTTTTGTTTTTTTATTTATTTATGTAATTTATTTATTTATTTTTTAGTACCGGGGATCGAACTCGGGTCCTTGTGCTTGCGCAGCAAGCAGCGAAACCACTGAGCTAAATCCCCAGCCCGTGTTTTTTCTTTATTTTCTTTATTTATTTTTTTGGTACCAGGGATCAAACTCAGGACCTTGCGTTTTCAAGGCAGGAGGCAGAAGCACTGAGCCAAATCCCTGGCCATGTTTATTTTAATTTTTTTTTAAATCTCCAACTTACAGAAAGATTAAGTGCAATACAAAGAACTCATCTTTTCCTGAGCCATTGAAGCATCGGCTGCCAGCCCCCAGCCCCGTTTCCTGAGGTGGATGTCACTGTTGACACCTTCTCACCCTCTGGCCTCACCCCCATTCTTGTTTTCTACTTGTTCCAATGATGTCCTTTCTAGACCCCAGTGTGGTGGCACAGGCCTGTCATCCTAGCACTGGGTAGAATGAGGCAGAAGGATCGCCACTAGTTCCAGGCCAGCAGGGGCTACATAGTGAGGGGCTACACAGTGAGACTTCAGAGCCGTGCCCTGAAGTTCTTCATTGTGGTTTATTTTGGGTCCTGCCCCACAGATCCACCCTGAAACGGGGACCCTATGGGACAGAAGATGAGTTTGCCGCCCCGACTTCTGCCAAGCTGACCCGGATAGAAGAACCAAAGAGAGGTACAATGTGCTCCCAGTGTGGGGACCGGGCGATCTCAATGGGAAGCTGCCAGGTCCTTGGTGCACTTGGGGTTGGGTTAGGTCGAGTAGGGTCAGAACTGGTTTGTATGCGGAGCCTGTGACTTACTTGCGTCTCCTCTCCCTTCGAATCTCCTGCACTCGGCCCCGGCAGTGCTGCTGTATGTGCGGAAGGAGGCGGAGGAAGTCTTTGATGCCCTGATGCTCAGAACCCCGTCCCTGAAGGGCTTGACCGAGGCTGTGAGTGGAACCTTGAGGTCTTGGTTGGTCGGTTGGTTTGGTTTGGTTTGGTTTGGTTTGGTTTTTGTTTTGTTCGCTTTGTAGTTCAGGCTGGCCCTGAACTCACTGTGTATCCCATGCTGGCCTCGAACTCGCAGCGATCCTCCTGTCTCTGCCTCTCAAGTGCTGGGATGACAGGTGTGCTCCACGGTGCCTGGCTGGTTGGTTGGTTTTTGAGACAGGGTCTCACTGTATAGCCTAGACTGGGCCTCAACTGGGCCTCAACTGGAGATCCTCCTCCTGCATGCCTGCCGGAATGACAGGCATGCTCCACCACTCCCAGCTTCCGCCACCTTTCCTCAAAAATCACATAAAACCTTGATCACAGGGAGAGAAGAGTGGAAAAAGTGGGGAATTGCAGCAGTGTGGCCTGTCACAGCCCTGTAGACACCCACCACAAGGGACCCCGACTTGAGGCGTGTCACAGTGACAATCCCCAGATAGGGGCTTAACCGGCCACGTCAGCTGTTTGTCCTTGGGAAAGGTCATCCTGTTTCTTTCAAAGTCACCTTTGCTGGGGTGGTGGCGCAGGCCTGTGATCCCAGCACTCAGGAGGACGAGCCAGGAGGAGCGCTGTGAGTTCCGGGCCTAAACTCCGTAAGAAGACCGTGTTAAACTACTCTGTGAAAAGAAAACCTATTAATTAAGAAAGACAAACTCTGGCCATGTAACCCACTGGCATTGCCCTGGCTTAGATACTTTTTCCAAGCAACTGGCCCAATGCCTTGTGAATAAATTGGGCGCAGCGCGGAGCCAATTCCAGGTCCTTCCTGAGGGAGGTGACAGCCCCCCCGACCCCGGGCACACAGACTCCGCTGCTTCTGTCCCCATGTGCCTCTTGGAAAAGCACCACGTTGTGTATGCATGTGTGTCCTCTGGGTTTGTTGTTTAATGCCACGAGAACAGTGTTTTTTAATTTTTTTTTTCCTGCTCTTAGATCTCAGACAAGTATGACATCCCTCATGACAAGATTGGGAAAATATTCAAGAAGTGCAAAAAAGGGTAAGCAGTAAGCGGGGAGGTGTCCCGCAACCTCTGTGTCCAGTTTTAACACGAGTCGGACACGGTGGTCATGGATCAGGTGCAGGCTGGAAGCAGCCACAGACCCTAATGCTGCCACTCGCTTCTTCTTATTAAATTATTTACTTAAAATTGACCTACCTTTGAAGACTATCTCTGTATATTATTTTTCTTTCTTTTTTTGATTTTTTGAGGTCTCACTGTGTAGTTCTCACTGTGCAGTTCAGGCTGCCCTTGAACTCACTATGTAGTCCCTGCTGGCCTCAGTCTCACAGCGATCCTCCTGCCTCAGCCTCCAGAGTGCTGGGATCATAGGCCTGTGCCACAGTGCTGGGCTCTTCCCTTTCCTTTAATCCTTGACCCCTGTTACCACAGCTTATGAATGAGGCGGCCTGGGCTCCCCCGGGTCCCCCAAGTGGGTGCAGAGGGACTCACTGGGTCTCCTTCCCAGCATCCTGGTGAACATGGACGACAATATCGTGAAGCATTACTCCAACGAGGACACCTTCCAGCTGCAGATGGAGGAGGCTGGGGGGTCGTACAAGCTCACGCTCACGGAGATCTAGGGCCCGGCCTGCAGCCCCGGGTTCAGAGCCAGTGTCCTGCGATGTCACTGCCGGGCACCTGCCCTGCCGACCCAGGTGACACAAGGGAGGGGACTCCTTCCTTCCGCCTAGAAACAGGCTTTGAACCAGTGAGGGCCATTTGCAGAGGACAGAGGAACACATGTAGTATCGATACAGATGGGCCCTCCAGGGTACTGCGTGCTGGTCGTGGGTGGGGCTGTGGGCCCCATGGGGACCTCGCCTGGCTCTGAGGGTCAAGGCACAGCTCCCCTACCCCCACTTTGTGTTTATTCCATGGGGTGCCAGTCTGCAGCCTTCTCGTGAACTCGCTGGGCCGCAGCGTAGACCACATGTGCAGGTGCATTGTAAATAGGTACAGTAGTGACGTGAAAGTCCGTGTGTAAATGTGTACATAGAGGCTTATAGAGATATCTAATATATACCCGCGGGCCACGTACAACAGCGAGGGTTCGCAGCAATCGTCCGGGAGACTCCCACCTGTGGGAACTGGGTGCCCCAGAGCAAGCCCTGGCCCAGTGACCAGGCCCTGCCTGCAGGTGCACGTGAAGGGCAGGCATCCGCGCCCACCAGGTCTGTCCCATGTAGAGCAAGCAGCAGTACAGCTCATGCCGGAAATGACTGTGAGCCTGGCCAAGGAACTCAGAATGGACCTCCTCCTCCTCTCTCCTTCCTGTTCTAAGAAGTGGTTCGAGCCTAAATCCCAGCACTCGTAGGCTAGGGCAGGAGAATCCCTGGGAGCATTAGGCCAGTCTGGGCTACATAGCCAGATCCTGTCTCAAAAAACCAAAACAAAAAAAGAAAGAAATGATTTTTATCATGTTTCAGAGCCTTTGAAGTTTGATTATGTGGAAGGTCTACAGTTCTAGAAAGCATTTGTGAATTTCTGAAACTGTGTCACTGTGCCAGGGCAATGTTTTGTACACATGTTTAAATATATAAAAATCCTTCAAATGTAATTTTATAATAGAAACACTAAGGAAATAAAATCACGGGTATCTAGGTTCAGGGAGCAGCTAGAATAGGTCATTCGTCTTAAGTAGCATTGATGGTTGCATTTTTAGATTAAAATATTCTAATGAAATATGTGAACTAAATCGCCAGCTTTCTAAGGTATCTTGGGACATGGGTCATATAATAATATTTTATATTTTGTTTTATGAAATTGATTTTGTCTTGTTTTTAATTGTATCATTGAAGATGTGTTTTAAACCAAAGGGATTAAATTTTATATGTCTATTTCATAAGATGTCATTTCCCTTTATTCAGCTTAACTTTCTCAATTTTTGGTCAGTCAGTGAAACAAAATTGAGGTCTTAAAATATTAGCAACAGCCTGGATGTCATGGTGCACACCTGGAATCCCAGCACTTGGGAGGCTGAGGCAGGAGGATTGACAAGAGTTTGAGGCCAGCCTATGCTACACAGTGAAAGGCCAGCCTGAACTGCACAGTGAGACCCTGTCTCAAAAAATAACAACAACAACAAAATGTATATTAGCAGTGAAATCCATCTGCTTATATTAGCATTTTCTTATTTCTTCACATATATTAGATTGCTTCCATCATGTTAAGTTTTCCTTTTAGGTGTCCAAAAGATCCAAATAATTATTTGGTTTGGGAGTTTGTTTGGTTTTTTTTTTCTTTTTTGGTACCAGGGATCAAACTCAGGACACGGTGCTTGTGAGGCAGACGGTGGAACCACCTAGCTAAATCCCGGGCTGCAGGTGTTTTGTTTTGTTTTGTTTTGCAGTGAAGTACATGTTTAATGTTTTGTTTTGGGTTTTTTTTTAGGTTTTTTGGTACCAGGGATCGAACTCGGGGCCTTGTGCTTGGGAGGCAAGCAGTGGAACCACGGAGCTAAATCCCTGGCCCAATGTTTTTGTTTTGTTTTGGTTTTGGTTTTTTGAAACGAGGTTTCACTATGTAGTTCAGCCTGGCCTTGAACTCACTATGGAGCCCAGGCTGGCTCTGAACTCATGGCAATCCTCCTGCCTCAGCCTCCCGAGTGCTGGGATTACAGGTGTGCACAGTACACCCAGCTTCAAATACTTGTGAAAGGAGCTCTTCACACCTTTTGGATTCTTCACCAAATTCAGGACAGGGACAGGGACAGGGACAGGGAGAGGGAGAGGGAGAGGGAGAGGCCCGGCAGGCAGAGGGAGGAAAGTGCCATGTGTCCCTCTCCTAGGCAAGGTCCCCATCCAGTCAGGGCCTTGGCTCTGCCTCTGTCCCCACAGCCCACTCCACGTTAGCCACCCAGCACGGCTGCAGGTCCCCCAGCTGTCCCCGTGGCCAGTGGCCGGGCAGGGCTGGCCTCCAGTGCCTGGCCCAGCTGGCAGGCAGCCGCCAGCCCCAGCCAGCATCGGCGACCTTTCCCCCACTTCAGCAAGGGCTTCCACTCCGGGCCTCAGCTTCCCCGGGGTCACGCGGAGCTTCACTGGCACCAGGGCCTCTCGGGCCCCTGCGGGGGCACAGGAGAACGCTGTTGGGGTGGAGGCCACCCCCAGAGGACCCCAGAAGCCACTGGACACTTGGCCCTGCCCCGCCACCTCACCACCGCCAGGTGCCTCAGGGCGAGCAGAGCAGAGTCCCAGGCCCGGTGTCCCACACCTCCCTCATCTGGGGCCAGGAAAGGGGGCTTATCGTGGTGGTGGGTGGGGACCAGGGTGTGGACCAGTGAGGGACACCATTCTTTCTTTCTCTTCTTTTTCCTTCCTTCCTCACTGCTGAAGACTGCAGCCAGGGCTTCCTACTCAGCTGCACCCCGACTTATTTTTTATTTTGAGTCAGGCTCTCATTAAGTCACTGGGCTGCTCAGGCTGGACTCAAACTTTCCATCCTCCTGCCTCAGCCTCCCGAGTGCTGGGATCACACTGTCTTCTCTCTCAGAGACCCAGGTGGGGGACGGGGTGCTCCCTGCTCACACTAGAATGTCGCATGACAATGCTGCGCTTGTGCCAATGGTGGCAGTGGTGGGTGGGGACTGTTTAGGGTTTAGGAATCCCTTCTGGAGACCCTTGGGTGTGACACCCTTGTCCGGGGATTCTTTTGAGCTGTTTGGGCAGAGGGGAGGGGAGAGGGAGGAGCCGCCCTGGGTGCGCTGGTTGAGGCCTCTGCCTGTGTTCTCAGCACTTGAGGGTGCAACTGAGGGCGAAGCGGATGGCAGCTCTGAAAATCCACGGGAACCCGGGCTGGGTGGCGCACGCCTGTGATGCACCACACGGGAGGCTGAGGCAGGAGGATGGCAGCAAGTTGAAGGCCAGCCTCAATTACCTATCAAGACCTTGTATCAAAAAATTAAAAATCCAGGCCCCGGGGATTTAGCTCAGTGGTTCCAGCGCCTGCCTCTCAAGCACAAGGTCCCGAATTTGATCCCCGGTACCAAAAAAAAAAAAAAAAAAAAATTAAAAATCCACAGGCAAACTGGAGAACAACCCAACCTGAATCCCCTCCTCCCCAGGTGGTCTGGGGTGTGGCTCAGGGCCTAGGCTGAGTCCTAACCCCATGGGCCCAGCTGGCAGCTGTCCAGGCTGTGGCTGCTCAGGAACAGCAGAGGACCTGGCCCCTGAGGGTCCATGGCTCCCCACAGCAGGGAAGGGTGGGGCGGAGGTGGCAGAGGCGACACAGGTTTTTGGAGACTGAGCTGGCTGTTCAAGGACTGGGCACTGGAATGGAGACGGGTTTGGCGGAGCTGTCGTCTCCCCGCCATGTCTCACTTCCGGGGACCCCTATGAATCAGCAAAGTGAAGGCAGCACCCGGGCTGGAGCTGGCCGGGGACTCTTCAGCTGAGAGAACTGACCTAGCTTGGTAGCGCACAGGGGAAGGAAAGTGGTTGCTTAGACTCCACCACCCAGCGGGGTGTGGTGGCACAGGCCTGTGATCCCAGCACTCAGGAGGCTGAGGCAGGAGGTTCATTCAAGTTCAAGCCAGCCTGGGCCATGTAGTAAGACCTTGTCTCAAAATACACACAAACAAAAAACAATAACAACAGAATGGACCTTCCTGCTGCAGGAGGGCAGTGTGGTGTCCAGGCCAGCCCTGAACTGCTGACCTCCTGGGCTGGTCACAGTTTGCAGGGCCTCTCATGCAGGGCCCCGGGCTTCAGGCACAGAGCTGGGGCCTCCTGGAGAGGAGCCCCTGATTTCCAGGAAGACTTGAGCCAAACACGCAGTGTTTCCCTGTGCCTAGGTGTAGGCCAGGAGATGTGGCTGTGGACACAGCAGCAGAGGAAGCTGAAGGAGCGGTGGGAGAGGCTGGGGCCCCAGCACCCTGGGCCGGGAAGCTTGGCCATGGAGCTGGGACTTCATAAGTACAAGGGCTCAGTCTACAGACTGCACAAATGGTGCGTGTGTGTGTGTGTGTGTGTGTGTGTGTGTGCACGTGCACATGTGTGTTTGTGTGTTGTGTGTGTGATGTTCAGGGTTCTAGGAATCAGGGATGAGTGTACAAAGTCCAGAAGAGTCCTTTGTGTGTGTGTGTGTGGCTTTTTGAGACCAGGTCTCACTATGTAGCCCAGGCGGGCCTTCTACTCATAGTGATCCTCCTGCCTCAGCCTCCTGCATGCTAGGATTATAGGAATGTGCCACAAAGTTTCGGTTTGGGCCGGGGATTTAGCTCAGTGGTTCTGCTGCCTGCCTCGAAAGCAGAAGGACCCGAGTTCGATTCCCAGTACCGAAAAAAAAAAGGAATGTGCCACAGTGTCCAGTGGGAAACTTTCCTATCATTCCAAAACATTCCTCTGTCTTTCCAAAATCATTTCCTGGGCTGGGGATTTAGCTCAGTGGTTTCGCCGCCTGCTGCGCAAGCGCAAGGACCCGACTTCAATCCCCAGTACCAAAAAAAAAAAATCATGTCCTGCCCCCTCCCACCCCTGATACCCACGGTTCTGATTTCAGTCCTTTTGGAAAGGTTTGGCCAGGCATAGTGGCGCCCACCTGTGATCCCAGAGTTCTGTGAGGGCTGAGGCAGGGAGATCACCATGAGTTCAAGGCACACTAGGCCACTAGTACTGGGTGACTTAGTGACTTAGCCTGTCACAAATCAAAATGTTCCAAAGTAGCTGGAGATATAGCTCAGTATCAAGGCCCTGGGTTCAATCCTCAGAACTTAAAAACAAAATGTAGAATTTTATGTTCACTATGTCTTAGGTATAGAATTTCAGCAGCCATGGAGTCAGGGTGGCCCAAGACCTGTCTCATCAAGGGCTAAAAACAAGCTCCATGGGAGAAGCCTGATGTGACTATAAATTAGCTAGATCCCACACAGCACCCCAGAACCTAAAGGAGGGCAACAGAATCCAGACTCGAAGCAATATGCTAGCATACTGTGCAGCATCCAATCAAATATCACTAGACATGGGATAAAGCTGGAACACTGGATCGCAACCAAGAGAAAAAGTAGAAGAAATAAAGGTGTTTAATTCATGGGGCAATGAGAGACAGAGTGCCTTTTGTTTGTAGCTATTTTATTTTGATAATGTTTGGTAGAGTTGCCATTAAAAAATAGTAATTTTGGGCCAGGAATTTAGCTCAGTGGTTTCGCTGCCTGCTGTGCAAGTGCAAGGACCTGAGTTCGATCCCCAGTACCAAAAAAAATAGTAATTTTCAGGGCTGGGGATTTAGCTCAGTGGTTCTGCCACCTACCTTGAAAGCGCAAGGACCAGAGTTTGATCCCCATTACCAAAAAAAAAAAATAGTACTTTTCAAAAGGTGTCTTAACCAAAAAAAAAAAAAAAAAGCCAGGCATGGTGGCACATGCCTGCAGTCATAGCACTCAGGAAGCTGACTGAGGCAAACAGATCGATGCTAGTTCAAGTGGAGGCCAGTGTGTGCTACATAGTGAATTCAAGGGCAGCTGGAGGGCTGGGGATGTAGCTCAGTGGTGCCACGCCTGCCTGGCAAGCACAAGGTACTGAGTTCAAGTCCCAGTACTGGGAAAAAAATGGCAGCTTGAACTACAGAAAACAAGCCAGGCATCATGGTGCATGACTGTAATCCCAGCACTCATGAGGCCGAGGCAGCAGGATCACTGTGAGTTCAAGGCCAGCCTGAGCTACAAGTCACGAAAGACCCTGTCTCAAAAGAAAAAAGAAAGGAATAAAAAGAAATTTTAAAAATCAGAAAACATGCCAAGTGTGGTGGCACACACCTGTCATTCCAGCAGTCAGGAGGCTGAGGCAGGAAGATTGCTGAGAGTTCCAGGCCAGCCCAAATTACAGAGCTAGACCCTGTCTCAGGAAA